GTGGGGACACACCTTGGGAGGAGGTGACACGGGGGCCTCTAGGGTGGGGACACCTGGGGTGGGGGTGGCATGTGGGCTTGGGGGGGTGGGGACACACCCATGGGCAGGGGCTGCCATGTGGACTCGGGGGGTGGGGACACACCCATGGGCAGGGGCTGGCATGGGGTGTGACCTTTGAGCAGAGCAGTGGGCACACAGTGACTCAAGATCCCTGGTCTGGGGTCTGAGGGGGACTTAGCCATACCAAGCACTCACCTCTCTGAACGGCACTGATGTAAGCGTCGTAAAACACACTTCTGTTTTATTTGCATGTCGTCATTCTAGTACTCAGCTATTTCTTTGCACAAAGTTTTTCTTGGTGGACACCAAGTCCAAATGTGTCTTAGGTGGTTCTCAGCCTCTCCAGGGGCTGGCCAAGTGCTAGGCCTTGAACACCTAGAATAGCTCCTGTCAGTCTGCGCATGGAGCCCCATGGCTCACATCGAATGCTGGTGAGGAGCAGGGGAGGGCGGTGGGGCGGAGGCCTCCCCGCAGCCCTGAACGCTCAGGTCCGGGCGGCTCCTCAGGGGACGCCTCTGCTCACACACTCGGATGCTCCTCACTGTTCTGGGGGCTACACAAAGCGAGAAGAAAAGCCGCTAACAGCAACCAAAAGCCCAGTGTCCCTGCAGCGGCAGGTGCGGGGCGTGCCCAGCTGTGCGTGGGAGCCTCCTGCCGGAAGCAGCATCTGGTTTGCTGCTCAGTTTCCGCCTCTTTTCTGTTGTCTTTCGTGGGCTGCTTGTTTTATGCAGTTTCTGCGATGCATTCTCTCTGCTCCTCCACCCCACTGTGCAGCCATCACAGCTGCCCCCGAAGCTTCACCCTGGGCCCAGTGCCCACACACTGAGGCCAGGTCGGCCGCTTCCCACAACTCCTGGGCTCTGCCCTTTGCTGTGTGCCGTCTGCTGCCACAGACCCTCAGCAGTCTTCTCTTGGTGGCCTCCAGGACCCTGCCTGCTGCCACTCAGGGGCCCTGCATGTCCCTGCTCCTGGAAGGCAAGGCTTCCTCTCCTACAGCGCTTAGCAGGCTCGCCTAGATTTTCACTAAGAACTGCTTTGGTGGTGGTGGGGATGAATGGCAGGCCCAAGCGTGGGATCCTGGACTGAAGCCCAGGGCCCCTGCAGGCTGAAACTCAAGACCTGTGGCTGGTGTGAGTGGGGGAGCTACTCCACTTGTTTGAGTGCTCTGGAGAAGTTTTCTAGAGCAGTTTTGAAAGCTTGCAGCAAGAAAGCACCAAGCTCGTTGCTTGTTTCATGAATGTCTGGGTCGAAACTTCCGAAGAGGGGCGTGGAGACCTGGATGTCCTCCCTGTCGGCCCGCAGCAGCACGGCGCGCAGCTCCTCCGCGATCTCGTCGTATTTCTGCTGGTCGAACTTGGACATGGCCAGCTCGTCCTGGGGGTAGGCGGCACCCTCGGGGTAGCAGTCCTTGGGCACCGGGAACTCGATACAGCGCAGCTCAGGGAGCTCACTGAGGGCGGCGAAGAGTCGCCGGAGGGCGCGGGCCGACAGCGGGTTCCCGAGGAGCTTGAGCTGGCGCAGCCGGTGGCAGGGACCCAGGCCCAGGATCAGCATGCCCACGTGGCTGTCTGTGATGCCACACTCCTCCAGCACCAGGATCCTCAGCGTCCGGGCGGCCTGGCCGAGCAGCCTGAAGAAGGTCGAGGGGTACAGGCTGACCAGGTTGTGTCCACTGAGGTCCAGCACCTCCAGGTGGGCAGTGTGGGCACAGTCTGCCAAGAAGGCCATGTCTGTGTGGTTCAGAGCACAGTTGGCCAGGTCCAGCACTCTCAATGGGGTCTGCAGGGGGCTGCAGGACAGGGGGAAGGAGCACAGGTGAGAGGAGGGTCCCAAGAAGGAGCTGGGGGCTCAGGCTGTTTGAAGCGCCGGGTGCTGGGGTGATTTGTTATCCTTAGTAGACGACTCCCCCCGCCCCCCGCCCGCTCCTGACGGGGCTTCCGCTGTGTCCGTTTAGTGATTTGCATATTCTTTTTTGCTAATTGGCATTCTCTCCACGTCCCTGAGTCACACACGGCTCCCGGTTCTTTTTCGGTGGCTCTGACTCTCCGTGCCCTGAACCCCGGGCGGGGCCGTGGTCCTGCCGCTCTGGCCCCGCCTGGAGTGCAAGGCCGGGGCGGTGCGGGCTCGTGGCCTTGGAGGTGAGCAGGCCCCCGGACCATCTCTTCCTGCCTCTGCAGCCACGAGCCCACCCTCAGTCCCGTCCCTGAGACTCACCCAAGCAGCGTCGGGATCTTCCCTGTCAACGTGGAGAAGGCCACCCTGAGCTCCGTGAGCTGCGTCATCTTGCCGAGCTCCCGGGCAATGGAGGCGAGGAGGGGGTCCTGGCCGTCGGGAGCGGAGACGCAGGTGGGGGGTGCATCAAAGGCCTTGGTGGGCAGGGTGAGCGAGGCCAGCCGGGGAAAGCCCACCTGGGCCAGCAGCTGCTGCACGTGGCCGGCGTGCAGCCGCACGTTGTGCACCACCTCCAGCTTGCGCAGGGTGCCCGGGCCGGCCAGGCGCAGCACGCGCAGGAGCTGGTCGGGGCTCAAGCTGTCCGCGCGTAAGGAGGGGCAGCGCACGCGCAGAGGGGCCGGGCCCCCCGGCCCGAGGGCCTGCACCACCTCCTGGAAGTTGCCCTCAGTGACGAAGAGGTCGGCGAGGACCTCGACCGGGCGCCCAACTGCCAGGGGCTGTGCCTGCAGCTCACAGCAGGTCCTGGCCAGCAGCCGGGTGCGGCCCCACCTGCCCAGCGCGCTCCCGCACGGGCACCGCTGCACCTGCACGTCTCGGAGGCCGGTGAGGTCGGCCACCCGCAGCCGCCGCGCGCGCGGGTCCTCCCGCGCGTGGTCCCCGAGGCCGCGCACCAGCGCCTCCAGGCAGGCCCGGCAGGCTCGGTCTCGCAGGTCCTGGGGGTGCTCGGCAGTGGGACCCAGCAGCGCTCCCAGGCGGAACTCCTCCAGGGGCCAGCGCCCCAGCACCGCGCGCGTCACCTCCGCCTGCTCCAGCAGGTAGCTGGCTTTGAACAGGAGCGGGTAGAGGTTGTGGGCCACGCTGTCCAGGCTGTGCCGGGCCACCTGGGGGTGGGAAACCAGGGCTTCCGCCGAAAGGAAGCGGAGTGACCTCATTGTGCCCACGGCCCGAGACAGGCCGGTGCTTGCTCCTCACGGCTTCCCCGAGCCCTGTGCCCTTCAGGCCTATCTTTAGCTGCAGCAGCTGGGAGCCGTCGCCTGGGGCCCTGCCATGGACCCCTGTCATCTGACTGCTATTTTGGTCCCGGGACGCCTGTGTCTGCCCGGCCTCCGGGAACCCTGCCGTTGGGGGTTGCTTGGCTCAGGCACCCAGCTGTCACAGAAGGGCAGCCCATGCCCACGCAGGGCTGGGCAGAGAGGCCTGTGCTCCATGCTGCAGAAAGCCAGCCTTGGCAGGCGTTCGTGCTGGCGGCCCGTGAGGGCGGCAGGCGGGTCCTGTTCACGGTCCGAGCGGGGCCGCTGCCCAGCCCTGGCCCCTCACAGTCAATGGGGCAGAGAACAGGCCGGACCTGAGCCCCCTCACTCGGTGCTGAGTTCCCTTCCCACCGGGGCCGCTCCTGCACTTTGCCTCGAACCTGGGGTGAGAGATGAGGGGCCAGGAATGGAGCTGCCGCTTCGCCCCTTCCCTGTGCCTCTCATTCTCCCCCAGGGCACCTCTCCCAGCCACTGGCTCCTGCTTTCCACAAGAGCGAGTGGCTGCGAGAGGTGGAGCCTCCCTGTGGCCTTGGATGAGCCCCCAGCTCTCTCTGAGCTGCAGAGTCCTGTCTGCAACCCTGGGACCTGCGTGGCCGGGAATGCTGCAGGTAACGCGATACACCTGTGTGGTGGGCGGTGCCCACGGTTCACTCTCGGCGCTGACGGTGTGGACGGCTGCTGGGGGCCTGCACTCGCCTGTCCCAGTAACTCTGCCACATGGGGCAGAGTCAGCACATGCCACTGCAGGGCACCTCATGTTCATGGGCTTTGGAGGGTCACGTCCGTGAGAAACAGAGGCCAAGGAAGACTGAGAGAAAGAGGCAGAGACAGAGAGACAGAGAGAGACTAGTAAACAGACTGACAGAAACAGAGACAGAGGGACAGAGAGAGACATTGAGAGGCAGGGAGAAAGGGAGACAGACACAGAGAGGGAGACAGAGACTAGGAGAGACTAGTACAGAGAGAAAGAGAGAGAGACAGAGGCGGTAGTGGGAGAGGGAAGGGCAGGCCCCGCAGCCTCCCTCTCTCCCTTACTGTTCTTTCTTTTGGAGAGGGGTGGTCCTCTTGGGGTTCCCATTCCAGCAGAACCACCCAGCACAGCGCCCGTCAGCCTCAGGCCCACCATTCCAACGGGGGGCCACAGCTCTGGGCTCCCTACGGGAAATGCCACTGGAAACGGGGGAGGTCTTTCTCAGACTAACTCAAGAGATGCCTTGCTAACTCCACAAGACCTACTAAAACCAAAATGAGCCAAGATTCCAGTTCTGTGCAGAGATGCCGGAGCATCCCGCCCACTGGCCTTCACTGGTCTTTACTGGTCTGCAAGGTCATGAAGCACACTGGTCCTAGGATGGCTCACCCTGGCTCTGAGACACTGGCCATGGGCGGTGGGCATGGGGCTGGGGGGTCGGGGACTGGTGCTCCCACCCTGGGTCACCCCATGACCTTTGGAGGGTGGGAGAGCTCTGGGCTGCACGAGCACGGGGAGCTGCGGCTGGCGTGCAGGGCTGAGTCCCTGCTGGACGGAGAGTAGGGGAGCCATCCAGGAGGGAAGCAAGAGAGGCCAGGCCAGGCCTGGTGGGGGCCACTGTGGGCGACGGCAGGCCCTGAGCTTTGGCGTGGCAGCCCCTGCCTGAGAGCTTCCTGTCCAGGCCCGCGCATAGTCTGGAGACACCACGGGGGCTCTCCCTGGAGGACCCGCCTCCATCACAGCTGTCCAGACAAAACTGCTGCTACTCACATCCCACGGGCCTCTCCCCAGGACTCTGCCCGCTAAGGCTGCGACAGCACAGGCGTGCCTGGCCCCCAGTGAGGCCTCTGAGACGGACACATGGTGGCAGGGCAGGACGGGGAGCATCGAGGCGCCTGCCTCCGGTACCAAAGCTCAGGAGGCTCTGTGCGGCCACCTCTGCGGGGCGGATCTACAGCTTAGGGGATCCAGGTCCCAGCCAGATGGGGCACGGGGCGGCTGCAGCACCACCCAGCTGCTGTCATGGGGGTTCCGTGGGTAACAGGGTTTGCTGCTCCGATGTGGAACAAGAGCGTCTGCCTTGTAGCAGGTGCACATGTGACACACAAGCTCTCATGTGACTTACCTCGAGTTGTGGAAAACAGTCTCTCTGTGTCACAGGCACACAGAACCTACGTTCACCCATCGTTTTGTAACTGAATCCTGGACCTAGGCCCCAGGTGCTCAGCTTGGGCCCAGCCAAGGTGCTGGGGCACCTTGGGGATGATGCTGAGGTGTGGGTGAGAGCTGTGGAGCTCACCACCCGGCATTGCTCAGGCAACTTGGAAGGAGGCACTGGCTGGGCCCAGAGGGTCCTGGGGAGGGCTAGAGCTCACTGCGGGCACCCCAACCTTGTCCACAGAGTCCCAGGCTGGCTCCTCCGGGGGCTTGGTTTAGAAACCACCTCACTGACCACCAGCCCTGAGCACTAGGATGGTGGGGTCCTACACCTGCTGAGCGGGGGAGGAAATCACACACCTTCCCGGCTCCCAGCATTGAGGTGGGGGCAGGGAGGATCCCACACTCTCCCTGAGGAGTCCTGCTGCTGAGGCATGGGTAGGGAGGATCCCTCACTCTCCCTGAGGGGTTTGGGCGCTGAGGTGTGGGTGGGGAGGATCCCTCACTCTCCCTGAGGGGTTTGGGCGCTGAGGTGTGGGCGGGGAGGATCCCACACTCTCCCTGAGGGGTTTGGGCGCTGAGGTGTGGGCGGGGAGGATCCCACACTCTCCCTGGGGGGGTTTGGGCGCTGAGGTGTGGGCGGGGAGGATCCCACACTCTCCCTGGGGGGGTTTGGGC